TATTGTTGTTATCTATTATTTATAACAGTATTGCGTTGACGTTTTTCAGAAAGTCTCGAGAACTTATCCGTTTGATCGACTTGAAGAATCCAACTGATTTTGCGAAAACATGGAAAAGATGGTGTTAAATTCAGCGCTAGTGGCCGGAGGGTTCGTGGCAGGAGCTGGAACTTACGGCCTGGTGCAATATGCGGTGGATTGGTGGCGCAGCTCGCGATCGACCGTACGTATGAATTAAACAAATATTTCACTGTCGTACTTAAGGAAACGGTCGCACACACAACTCCGCTTGACAATCTTTACGTGTTAAGGTCGGGTCAGGAGCCGGGATCCGTCCGGGTGCAAGAAAACGATTGTCCATTGAGTTTTTGCGCCCAAATTACCTTGCTTTAGGTAAACTGCGCCCCGTTTATAATTTGGTTGAAAAAAGGTTACATGTTACAAGCCGCGCCCAGCTTCTTATCGTCGGTACGAAATGCAAACAGCGCCCGAATCAATAAAATCGCAGAAATATTAATATTTAGCCTCGGTTGAAGATAAACGGACGTCGCTTTCATTTAACGCAATCGTGGATTAGAAACATCCAACAAAATGGCTCGAGTATTGACTATAACTTATAAACAGTGATATTAGAAAGGGAGGGGGGGGGGGGGTTAGTTCAATGCTAAGTGGAAATATTACTGAACCACCTTCGCACCTGTATTATAGTGTACGTATATATATATATATATATATTTATATATTTACGAGCGTTTTAGGCCGGGTTGAGAACTTTTAATCTACAAGAGATAAGAGAGATAATTATACATAAGAACATATTATAATAGATTTATTTTTCGGATCTAATTACAAAAAATGTATCTACTATTTGGTATAATAAAATAACAGGTAGTACAAATATTAAGTTTAACATTTAGAGTTTATTAAATTTTATTTTTATTAGCAGAAATGCCGTGCAGAAATAATAAAAAAATCTAAACGTATTTTATTATACCTGACATTAATAATTGATGTTGTCGTACAAAATGGCGCACGCCCGTCTATCACGTGCGTGCGCTCAAATGGCACCTTCTGATTGGCTGATTGTGTAAACGAAAAACAGCAGCCATTTTCTAACAAGGAGAATTACTTTGAAATGTACACATTTTTTCATATATCTTAAATCGACCTATTTTCTAACCTCCAGCGAGATCTATATGTTGTGCGGTTGGACGTGATCAGTCCCGGGAGTGAGAGAGTACCGGGTTCATGTCCGGTTCCACTCCCCCAAGACTTTTTGCATTTTTTTACAACTTTTTTACAACTCTTATGGTAATTTATATTGCAAGAAGTCTAAACACTTGTAAAATAATTATATTTCACTACTACAGAGTACATTTTTACCCTTAAAAGTTTCCCTCGCGCCAATACGTTTAAAATAAATTTTCATCAGCAGACGACGCTGAACTCTAACAACGCGTTAGTGAGTCCGGGGAACGTTAAGTCGGTGTCGTTCTAGCAGGGTACAGTAAAATTATATTAAATTGGTTTGTTGATTTTTAGGTTAGTCGTTAGATTCGTGTCGGTTTCAAATGTTGTTGATTCGTTGTTCGAGGTTTGTCGTGCCGGCCACTAGCGTTTGTAATAATTGTTCCTCGCGGAGAAAAACAGGTATGCACAGCATTGAGTCGCTACACTGCTGTTCACCCCAAAAAATTGTAGTCCCTATAACTTACAGGCCTCAGAGTGGTCGCGTGGGTAGAACTAAGCTAATACTGTGCGTATCCTGAAAGGTATATATTATTATTTATTTTATACCTGTCTTCATTTAACAGCTGGTGTAGAACTGGATCAAAATCTGCTAGTAATTTAACCGCTATTTCACTTTATCAGTTAGTCTTAACAGTTTTAAATACTGTAACCATGGTTGTTAAACTACAGAGCAATCACTAATATCAGTGTTATTAGGCTGCATATCGATTTTCAGAGAACTACTATAAATATCTACTGTCATAAAATCGATAAGAACTGTTTGACAAATAGATAAATATTTTAAATTTTTTATTTTTATAACTGCTCTTGTTCTTTAATCAGGACCTAGACTGAGGACTATATCTAAGTTAGAAATTGTGCCCCAAAATTCATCTTATAGTGCCCTTTTAGCAGGGCGTCGCCCTGTCCGCCCCCCGGTAGTTGCGGCACTGGTAAACAATAAAAATTATTAATTGTACTTCTGTTTTTTTTTTTTACTTCAACCTAACAAAAATTACATTCTCCGGTTCTTTTTTGTTTATTCAAGGCGTTTAAAATAGGCTACACGGAGCACATAAAATTGCATAATTTGCAGCCGTTAAGGCACCGGTGTTCAATGCTTCCTGTTCTGTGTCGCTAAACTGTTTTATAACATCTCTATTAAAGCATCGACAAGCATTTAACAACCTTGGTCAGGCAGTAGATAAATGGGATGCAATATTGATTGAGCTAGCGTTGAGCAAATTGGACAAGTTGACTCTACAACAACGGGAACTGTCGTTGGGCACAACTGATGTAGTTCCATTTTCCCAGTTTGACATTTTTCTCAACTCTCGTATTAGGTTACTTGACGCGTTTGAAAGTGGTCAGCGAGGACTAGTTGTGTTTAAATCCGACGAGCACAAATCTACCGGCTCGAAGAATAAATTGAACGTTACATTGAACTAAAAATATCCTAAATTTGCAGGTTACAGTCTAGTAGCTTTATCTATCGCTTCCCTACGTGAAATAAAATTTGTTGACAATTGTACGCCCCACAAGCTGTGGTAGTCTATTACAGTGGTGATAAAAAATCACTAAATATGCCAAAACTGGAGTAGAGAAATATAAATACCTTGGTTTTTTTTTACATATATTTAAATATTGTATTAATTAGTTTTGTTTGCGTTTAGGGAGAGGAACATAATGTGGAACCGCACCCAAATGAACCTATATTAACAACAGAACACAGAGTAGACGAGGAAGTCGAAGAGGTCCCACGTGGACCAAAGCCGGATTTGGTAAGTCTAAAATACTAGAAATTGACTATGGCCAAATATTTTCACTATTTTTCTACAATCCATAAATGCTTATAAACTAATTCCTTAAAAGGGGTGGATACTTTTTCTTGCCACTTGCTTTCCTAGTATCACACTTCGTTCCATTGAACTAAAAATATCCTAAATTTACAGGTTACAGTCTAGTAGCCTTATGAATCGCTTCCCTACGTGAAATAAAACTTTTTGACGATTGTACGCCCCATAAGCTGTGGTAGTCTATTTCAGTTGTGATAAAAAATCACTAAATATGCCAAAACTGAAGTAGAGAAATATTAATACCTTGGGTTTTTTTTTTACATACATTTAAATATTGTATTAATTAGCATTGTTTGCGTTTAGGGAGAGGAACATAATGTGGAACCGCGCCCAAATGAACCGATATTAATAACAGAACACAGAGTAGACGAGGAGGTCGAAGAGGTCCCACAAAGACAAAGGCCGGCTTTAGTAAGTCTAAAATACTAGAAGTTGACTATGGCCAAATTTTATTCCCCCTTTTTTTACAATCCATAAATGCTTATAAACTAATTTCCTTAAAAGGGTTGGATAATTTTTCTTTATTTTGTTTTTTAATTGAAGTTTTTGGGGTTTAAAAAGTCTGAAAATTAGACCATAGGTAAATTTAAATTATACAATTATATCAACTTTTTCTTTATTTTGTTTTTTCAGCAACGTTATATGAATAACAGAGTAACGATATCAATAACAGAACACAGAGTAGACGAGGAGGTCGAAGAGGTCCCACAAGGACAAAGGCCGGCTTTAGTAAGTCTAAAATACTAGAAGTTGACTATGGCCAAATTTTTTCACCCTTTTTTTACAATCCATAAATGCTTATTAACTAATTTCCTTAAAAGGGTTGGATAATTTTTCTTTATTTTGTTTTTTAATTGAAGTTTTTGGGGTTTAAAAAATCTGAAAATTAGACCATAGTTAAATTTAAATTATACAATTATATTAACTTTTTCTTTATTTTGTTTTTAGCAACGTTATATGAATAACAGAGTAACGATATTAATAACAGAACACAGAGTAGACGAAGAGGTCGAAGAGGTCGCACGTGGACCAAGACCGGATTTGGTAAGTCTAAAATACTAGAAATTGACTATGGCCAAATTTCCCCCCCCCTTTTTTTACAATCCATATATGCTTATAAACTAATTTCCTTAAAAGGGGTGGATACTTTTTCTTGCTACTTGCTTTCCTGTTACCACACTTCGTTCCATTGAACTAAAAATATCCTAAATTTCCAGGTTACAGTCTAGTAGCCTTATCAATTGCTTCCCTACGTGAAATAAAAATTGTTGACTATTGTACGCACCATAAGCTGTGGTAGTCTATTACAGTTGTGATAAAAAATAACTAAATATGCCAAAACTGGAGTAGAGAAATATAAATACCTTGGGTTTTTTTTTACATATATTTAAATATTGTATTAATTAGCTTTGTTTGCGTTTAGGGAGAGGAACATAATGTGGAACCGCGCCCAAATGAACCGATATTAATAACAGAACACAGAGTAGACGAGGAGGTCGAAGAGGTCCCACAAGGACAAAGGCCGGCTTTAGTAAGTCTAAAATACTAGAAATTGACTATGGCCAAATTTTTTTTGCCTTTTTTTACAATCTATATATGCTTATAAACTAATTTCCTTAAAAGGGGTGGATACTTTTTCTTGCCACTTGCTTTCCTGTTACCACACTTCGTTCCATTGAACTAAAAATATCCTAAATTTACAGGTTACAGTGTAGTAGTTTTATTAATCGCTTCCCTATGTGAAATCAAATTTTTTACGATTCTACGCACCATAAGCTGTGGTAGTTTATTACAGTTGTGATAAAAAATAACTAAATATGCCAAAACTGGAGTAGAGAAATATTAATACCTTGGGTTTTTTTTTAACATATATTTAAATATTGTATTAATTAGCTTTGTTTGCGTTTAGGGAGAGGAACATAATGTGGAACCGCGCCCAAATGAACCGATATTAATAACAGAACACAGAGTAGACGAGGAGGTCGAAGAGGTCCCACAAGGACCAAGGCCGGATTTGGTAAGTCTAAAATACTAGAAATTGACTATGGCCAAATTTTTTCCCCCTCTTTTTACAATCCATAAATGCTTATTAACTAATTTCCTTAAAAGGGTGGATACTTTTTCTTTATTTAGTTTTTTTAATTGAAGTTTTTGGGGTTTAAAAAGTCTGAAAATTAGACCATAGGTAAATTTAAAATATACAATTATATCAACTTTTTCTTTATTTTCTTTTTTCAGCGACGTTATATGGAAAGGTTGGTTAGAGAAGAGGTGAGTACCAAAAATAAAAATTTGTCGTTTAATGAGATACTATGGGAATACGACCCTAGAATGCATGGACATTTAATCGACTATACTGGAAGATTCATTATGGATAAGACATTCAATTTCTATTAAACTATTTCGAATTTTGTAGTTTTTCAATTGAAAACTTTTGTTTATGTTATTTTACAATATGAGGTCGTATTCAAATATGTATCTTTCTGATTTTCTCTGCTATCAACTTTTTAAACTTAAATGGTAACATCTATGTATATTTTATTGGCTCTTTTAATTAGTTAAGTGCGGTAAAGATGTAAAATTCTCCTTCCCCTCTCCATTTTTATTAAATATTTATTGTTATTTCAAAAATGTTTAAGCAAATTATCGCTTGTTTAAAAAGTTTATCAAATATTTATACATGGAACCTGAGTTTTAAGAGTTGATTACACCCTGGAAAGTTGTTAATAAAACAATTTTTTGATAATTTTCAGAGGAGGAAGCATGCTTGTATGAGGTGCAAGGAGTTCGGGCACCTCGGGCACCAGTGCCATCTGCCCTGGGTGGAGTCCAAAGAAACTCCCGAACATTATGCAAGAAGAACCAGGGGGCGCCGTAGGCGTTAGAGATCACTCTAGTGATCTCAGTACATGCACCGATCTATACCCTGTTCGCTAAGAGAGCATGCCGGGCAGTGTTGGGCAGAAATCGTAATCATAATTACCATTACGTTTATAATCATGAAAATGTTAAGGTGGATTACGATTACAATTATAATCACAGGCCCGGGGATATAATTACACGATTACGATTGTAATCACAGATACCGGAAATGTGATTACGATTACGATTACACTTATGATTATGGTAACGATTACTATTACACTCGTAATCACAACCTTTTTCTATGATTACGGCCGTATACACAGACTTCCTCTGTGATTACAAGTGTAATCACGATTAAATCCGGGATTATGAATGTAATCGTAATCGTAATCATATATCTGGTATCTGTGATTGCAATCGTAATCGTAATTATATCTCCGGGCCTGTGATTATAATTGTAATCGTAATCACACCTTAAAATTTTATGATTATAATCGTAATGATGATTACGATTACGCCCAACACTGATGCCGGGTTTGCGCGTGTAGACTGAAGACTAAGCAGCAAGACTAAGGCAGGCAGACAGAGTGGACTTACGGGGGAACGCTAGTCACATGCCGCAACCCAACGAAAATTGGCCGGTCTGCGCACCCCCCCCGCCCTGTCTGCCAGCCTTAGTCTTGTTGCTTAGTCTTCAGTCTACACGCGCAAACCCAGCATGCTCTCTTAGCGAACGGGGTATAAATCGGTGCATGTACTTTTTGGCCTGGCTTTGATACCGGCACATCAAAGCCGACTAGGCCCTTATTTTGGTCGCCGGGGTTCCCACTCTAGCCGCATCTTCCCCGACTTCGATAACCACTCCTACCGCTCTACCTCTAGTCCGCCAAATGCTTTTAATCTCCAGTTTTCCGGTTTTATCGGTCCAACCACCACTGCTTATGTCCTGGGTACTTGACCCTTTAGCTCATCCGCCGTCACTCTCGTCCGGCCGCCTCTTGTCGGCGCACACACTCTTGTGGCGATCTCCTATCAACCTCGCTCCATTCTACAAGTTGCTCATGAACTTCACTCGCATGTCACTGGCCGGGCCAGTGGGAAAAGCCAGCGACATTTCGGCTACCGACTACCGTTTAGACAGTGTTGGGCAAATGTAATCTGTTTAATTATTACGATTAATAATAGTAATCAGTAATCATAGTGTTAGATTAATACAATCATATAAATGTAATCATGATTACATTTATGATTACATTAATCTTTCAAATGTGATCATGAAATGATTAATGATTATATTTTTTTAACCGCCATAGGTTTTATGTATTACATAATACATATATATAAAAAAAATATATGGGATGTCTAAGACGATTTGACCTTTGCAATATCATCTAGACAATTATTATTATTTTGTAATAAGCCTGGGGCGGTTAAACAATTTTTTTTTTAATGTTTTCGTGATTACAATTGAAAATATAATCATGATTACTGATTACTTTTACAAAATGATAAAATGATTAATGATTAATTTAATCATGATTACAATATTGTAATCGATTACGTAATCCAATAATAAATTAATCGGTTACGCCCAACACTGCCGTTTGAAGGGCATTACTGCCACTATCATACTACAATATACATGTATTCTTTTTTTTTGTCCCTTTAAGCATTTTTGGATTGTCGTACCTATTGCACCACACCTTCAGTTTTGCGCAGGCGAACCCTCCCACTTCTGATGTGATGTGGTGTAAATAGATGAATAAAAGCCATTTAAATACAAACTCCACCCCATTGCATTGTAATAACTTCAAAGTTAACATTATACATTTTTTTTTTATAAAAATTGTTATTATATCTAATGTAAAAAAAAATATTATGTAAAACCATCTGGTTAAAATCATATTATTCTTGATAATATGTGTGTATAATAATATACAATAACCGTAATGTTAATAAATACAGTACTAATTGCGTAACAAAAAAAAATGTTTTTTATTTAACTAAAATACATTGATAATAATATACAAGGTAATGCATTGTTTAAAACCAATTGCGTAATGTAAACATTTTATAAAAAGTAAGTGTTGTTTAGGGCTTAAATTCATGTGAAATTAACACGTTGGGTATCCATCATCAGAGTGTAATTGATCTATGCGAGGACAAACAATATCTTCAAGGTTAATTATGTTAATATGTGATAAACTCATGTAAAATATCTTTTTTCTGTAGTCCATACATGGTTGTAAATGTTTAAGCATTTAAAATTATTGATAGTTCTTCCGCTTCATAATGAGATGCCATTGAGTGAAGGTGTTTGGTTAGCCATTTGTTAACATTTTGTGTTTTAATGTTTAAAGATTGTGTAAAACAATGTTTGAATATCCAATGTTGTGTCGCCCATGTGTCAGTTGCAATTACCGATAATTTTTTTATTAAGTATTTATTGTCTGGCGTAATAATACTTAACTGTTATCTCTTATCTCTCATCAGATAACAGCGTAACAGGTTTTTCGTGACTAACAGTTTTTTCGGACAGTTCGGTTATGTGCCAGAGCTAAGACATGAAAATGTCAAACAACGTACTGTCAGAAGTAAAATCATATGTGTTTGTTCTTAATTAATTAATTATTCAATAACTGGTTGAATTATAAAAAAACGGGCAATGATAGAACACTGACAATGTTGTTGTGTATATTATGTGAAAATTTGGTTTCTTAGTTTTGATTACAGCCTTTGTAAAATTAATCCGCGCAAGGCGGGTTTTTTGAAGAAAATAACGGGTGTGTGGCGCTCTCTTAAGACCTCAGAGTAATATTTAAAAAGTGAAAGAGGCGAATCGTTGTACAAATATCCATAAATACTCGAGGGTAGTGTTGTATAAGGCTGGGCCAATAAATTTAAATTAATATAGCGTGTCAACTGTCAAACACGAACATTCGATTGGTGATAATTGATAAATGCATGTGTGTTGCTATCAGACAGACTCGAGACATCTTGTTTAGATTATTTTTTTTTCCAAGAATGATATAGTGCATTATAATTTCTTTTCAAAGTTCCAATATAGTGTACCGCGATAAGCCCTTACGATTTTATATTATATGATTTTAGCCTAGTCACTGTCAATAGTTTCAATACAAGCGTTTGCCAGAGTTTAATTCGTCAAACAATGTATTTTGTATTCATTTTTGAAATCAATATGGTAAGAACGTTCTTACAACTTTGGTTGTTAGATATTAATTTAGGGTTCTAACTCAGTACTATTGATGTTGGTTTAATAAATTTGTGTTTTTTAGTAGATGGCATTACGATGCTTTTTGCAAAACATTTTCCATAATAATAAAACCAACAGCCATCTCTTGTGAAACACACACACAATTGGTTGTTAGTGTAATCACAGATGTATGAGGCAAATGAAATACGCACACGGCATACATGTTTGCTAACAATTTTTATAAGCGTCATAGGCATTAATCTAGTTAAGACAATAGTGTAAAACGTACGATCAGTATACTTTATTGTTACACTGGGTTAAGACTTCGGTTCTTTCGCAAAGTAGTTTCTGATTAAAATACAAAAATTCTATATTCATGAAAATGTCGTTCAAGTTCATTTTTATAGCAACCGTTATGGTTAGCTACAGTTTAAAAATGGCCTCTACCACTATAAGCATTGTTGAAGAATATGAGGATAAAGTAGGCAATTTGGATCCATACGTTCGTGTTCAATGTAGCTACATACATAGTGCTCAAATTTACATGGGGCTGATCGAAACATTGCTTGCTGATAAAAATAAGTTGAAGAAAGTTCCGCAAGGAAAAGATCTATCGTATACCAAACAAGCTGCTAAAATTAATGCGACCTTTCATAATGTCGCTGCGATGCAGAATACTGGTGTAGAGAACTTAATGTGGATATTTTCAGTGTACGCCGAACGAGTACTGGTGTACATGGAATCGGTCATAAATAAAGTCCCGGCTGAAGATCAATTAAACATCTTATTCGTTCACAAGTCCGTCAAAGTACTTTTCGTATCCTTCATGGCGTCTGGCTTCTGCGCCGGTTATAGTAAGGGCAAAAAGTTGGATATAGACGACATGAGAAAAATAACACATTTTAAGGTTCGAATGGCCACTCTCGAATCTAAGACATCAGTTTTCATGCAGCGAATAGACATAAACGCCAACCAACACGGTATCATCACCACCGGGCACGAACAGTTTAGTTTTAACGCGTTAAGCTTGAACAGACTGCTGGCAGACATGGAAGCGACTAAACAAATTTTAGAAATTTCTGGAGTTGAGCTAAATTGGGACCAATTGTTGCTGCATTTAAAAGAAGATTATTATTTGGGAACGGAAGCCAACGGTAATAAATTGAGTCAACAGATTTACTCATTGAAACGGTTTCATGAGAAGTTTTCTATAATGGTAAAAGTAATCATAATTCGTCTGGTGCACAAGACCTTAATGTATGAAGAATATCCGTCTTACTGGAGTGAGTGTGGAATTGCACCTGACATTGTCGAGTTAGAGAACTATTTGGGTCCACAAGAAGAAATGCATTACGTAAACGACTTGGTTGAAAATAAGTCAAACAAGCTTGACACGACTGTCCAACTGAAAATGCATCTTGAAGGATTGGTTCCGCCATATAAAGTTACCATGGAGCGCGCATCTACGAGTAAAAAAGCAAACAAACAACAACAATCCTTTACAGGTTTTCAAAAACAAGTAAAAAATTTTGTCAACATTTTCAAAAATACCGCTTTAGCTAACATAAACTTCAGTATAATTAAAAAATTTAGAGAACTTCCATATACACCTGAATACAAAATGTTAGAAGAGATTGAACCATCTGTGGATATAACTGATATAACTAAATTTAATTGTGTTATATTATAATTTCAAAAGAATTATTATCAACAGTTTCTGTTTAAAATATAATAATTAAAGCCAAATAAGGCGCATAAGATAAAATAAAAAACAACTGTCATAATGTC